TTTCTCAAATGATTGACCCCTCTCAAAGCACTACCTGTGCAGTACTACGACATTTTTTAGTACCTAGCTATCGAATCATCAGAGTTAGTAGGTAGAGGCTGCAGGCAGTAGTACTGCTGCTGGGGAAAACCAGAACAGCAGTACCTAATAGTAGCCTATTATTGTCTCCTGCCATACATGGACCGAAACATCAACAACTTCCGAACCATTTAAGAAAAGAACATCGTAAACTTGAGAAGTAGAATGAAGAACACACAGAGAATGGCCAATTCTGCTACATCTGATTATGTTATGGTGCGATGCKATTGGACAAGACATGTTTTTAAAGTTTAATATATGATTATTGTACAACATTCCGCCACAATAACGGRGCATTTCATCGTTTTATTGAAGGTTGCTTTTCTTTTCGTTGATTTCATTCGAATTCCATTCCCTCGCTTGCTTGATCCTTAATCGTCCTCTTGAACGCTGACCTGGAAGAGCTCAATGCATTGACCATCGAACATCGGAAGGGATTGGTTTCGCAAAAAGATGACGCCCCACATGAAAGCTGTGAACCAAAGTGCTGTGTATTGATTTGGCTGGTACTTTCGGATGACAATTGCGTGAGGGACCGGTAGCAATCCAACCATGACAATATCCTTGAGCGCATCAAGGATTTCTTGTTCATCGACGGCTCCCTGCCTCTTGGCCACAATCTCATCGACAACTGGAACCAAATGCTGGAGCAATCGTGTAACAGTTTCGAGCGGAAGGGAGTTTTTGAGTTCGGTCAGCCATTCCTCTGTAGGGACAAACTTGCGTCCCATATCATCTCCACCCATCATGGCACCCGCATTAGGCAGTCCCTTAGGATCCATTCGTTCAATACGGCGGGCATAGTCTCCATCGTATTCGCTTCGAGACTGATCACCATATGCCTTATGGCACTGGTCTTGTGCCTTCTTCAGGGTTAGAGAGGCCAATCGTCCGAAGGAGTCCTGTGTATTTCGAGAGGAATAAGCAAGTGAGTGGGATACATAGTATATGATGATGTAGTTGTGGATTCCGTTCTTTTAATTTCCACCGGTCCAATCCAATATCTAGCTGATTCAAGGCAATGGAATCAAGACACCCCTTCTCCATGGAAATTTTGCGTGCGTGGTGGAGCAGAATCAAATCAAACTGAAACTTACCTTTCGTCGAATCAAAGCGTACACCAAATGTGTGTTTCCGTGATATTGGTATTGGATGACGTTATTGAAGACCTCCAATAACAATGCCAAGTGTCTATGGGCGTGTTCTCCACTGTACAAGAATTTTGGGGAGGAAAAYAGTTCAAACAAATTGACCAACTTTACGGCAGCCACAAGCGACATCGACCGCCAGTAAGGAGAAACGTTGCAAATAATGGTCAAGAAACACGAATAGAGTGGAACCAGTTTATATGCCCCATTAACGACCAGTTTGTGGAGGGTGATGGTCAAAAGATCGTGGTGGCCTCCACTGAACAATGGGAGGTCCGTGGGAAGCTTCTTGGTGAAGGGCTTGTTGAGTGCYACCCCAAAGCTTCGCTCCCCGCTCAGTTTCAGCAGGCAGAAAGTGCAGATGTGAACCAAACCGATCTGCGCAGGATCCCGACGAGACTTGTACATGAGGAAGCAAATCGGAACCACCAATTCGTTGATGTCACATCTTGTCAGCACATGGTTCATAAAGAGGGGATTTTCCTCCAAGAATTTCCACAGAAGCACCAGCAATTCCTGGAAGCATTCAAGCTTAGTAGTAGAATTGGGAAGATAGGTAGATTGTGGTTCATATACGTTCTTGAGGAGACGGGCAAACCCGTCAAAGATGAAATCCATATCWGCAGCCGAATCGATTCGAGCCATCAAGCTGCGGAAGATATTGAAGCCACCACGGCTGGCAGTTTCRAATTCAATGACCGGCTCTCCTTTCATGTCCAAAACAGGCTCGGGGTTTCCAGGAAGACCGCAATCCAACAAGACTGCCAAAACCTGGGCCGAGAGTTCTACTAGCTTAACGTGAGCGTCGCTAAAGCCAACACTGTTTGGGTCGAAGGTCAAGACCGTGTTCAACAAAGAATAAAATAAACAGACRGCATTGGGAGCATCTGCAGCAGTGGCCACTGCCAACCAGCGGGATGCAATGGGGTTGTACTCATCGGCAGGGCTGAAAAGGGGATCACAGCATGCGCTCAACAACAATCGCAAAACCTCGATGCGGTTCTTGTCGTACTTGCGTGTCGCCGAGGCATCGTAACCGCCATTGAGCTGTCCGGCTTTGATGCCAGAACCCGAAGCCCAGACAACGGAAGATGGCCTAGGAACCAAAGACACCCCAGCTTCAATAGATTTGGCATTTAGCAAGCCTTGGACTGTGCTTCGAAGTTCCTTGTCTTCCTTAGTCTCGCTGCGTCGGAAGCCATTGTGGCTGCTGGTATCAATCTTGTTCTCGTAAAAGTCACAGGTAAACTGCGGCAAAAAGAGCATGTGCATAGCGGCGTGGACAACCAACAAAGCCAGGGGTTCTTGCTCATCCTCAGGACCGGTATTGTTTCTAGCTAGTCCGTTGCCATTTCCACCAATATTTCCCGAGGTCTTTGCGCTATCGGTACTCTTACCGGTTCCAATCATGAGGCCGATTTTCTCGTCATCGTTCAAGTCATCACCATTCGTTCCCCAGCACAATTGTTCAACCTGTTCGTCTGATTCYCCCAGATCTCCTGCGTTACAAATCATTACAACAAGAAAGCTTGAGKGTGAGAAACAAGGGGTCAAAGAATCTTTGGTACGCTGTTTTTACATGTCCAACGATCCGACGACCTCATCCATTTTTTCTTCGTAACCTGAAACTCCGCATTCTTTCCTCTTTCATGCTACGCACCTTTCTCGAGCAAAAAYGGAAGAATTCTTGTCAAGACACGAACGCAGTTCAGGGCCTGATCGAAGTAAATATTGTACGGTGTTTCAACAATCTGGCAGAGCTGGGCAGTTGCCTGAGTAAACARCGTCGCAAGATTGGCAAACCGTTCGTCYCGGAGCTTTCTAGCTGCCGAGGGAGGAATCAATTCGAATACTTCCTCTCCGCTGTTAGGGATCTTCCAGAGCTCGTCCCAGAAATCTGCGTCATCGGCCGAGACGTCGACCTCGATCAAAGCCGAGACGGATTCGCGGAACTTTTCTCTCGATGCCGAGGCTCCCATTGTGGATTGTTCGAATGGATTACTCTAGTAATGAAATAAATCGGTTTGCTTCGGACCCCTAGTTTTTTCTTATAATCGCTGGAAACTTGCAGTTTCGACAAGGCTTCGTGCTTTTGATTAAAGGAATTCGTTGCTGTTCCTCTGTTCTATTTCTGATGTCTTGCTGCACAAAATGTCAATAATCGTYAATTCGGATTGCTTTTGTTCTCGCTTTGAGCCGTAACGCGAGCGTACAATAAGTACTAGAGTTGAAGGGCGCGTTATGCACGACAATCAGTACTTGTTCGCAACAGTCGGGTTTTTCACGTGTTAATCCTTTGTGACTGCCCTTTCTCTCACTCGCCTCTTGTCAAAAAAAGTCGCAGTGTCCTCAAGAAATAAYAATCTGGCGAGGGAAGAATGAAGATAAGCTCTGCTTGCTACATTGGCGATTCTAATATTAATAATATACAGAAATGAATGATGTGAAATTATTTGCGCGCATGAGTATTCATGGTCGCCGCGCACGGTGATCCGTCGTATTGGAAAAACGGAAGTCACAAACTCTTAGGGAGAGAACGCGTGCTTAAGAACTCTCATCGCTGATACGGCAGGTACGTACGTACTCGTCCCCGTACATTGCCGCGCCAAGGATGCGACTCATTCAGCCAAAAACCGTATCATACAATTTAGTGGTGGGAGTTGTCATCATCGAAACCGCGAATAGCCTTACGCTCCAAGCTTGGCTATCTATCAAGACCAAGAACGAAAAGCAACCCACCAACAACCTTGTCACTGCAGACAGCAAGCGAAACACGTCTTGCCCGAAGAAAACAAGCAAACAACTCATCAGCACGGAGATAAGCATCTATCAGCAGTAGATAACCGGGTTCGAGATCTATGCTAGTTATTGGGAGAAGACATAGCACTATTGTACTATATTGAACACAAAAGTATATAATCCATCATGAAGGAGGTCCTCCTGGAAGAAGTCTTCTCCCTCCTTGAAGAAGCTAAGCGCCTCGAGAAGACCGGGTGCAATCGAATCGAAGCGGCTACAAAGTATTACGAAGGCTGTTACGTCATGCGGCAAATCCTTGCCACGGATGCAGCAGCAGCACCTCCATTAGAATCCTCCGATTCGCAAAAAACCGCATCGACGCTTGGATCTTCTAGTCGGAGGTTGCTCGAAACAAAGATTGACCACTACACCAAGATCGCTCGGCGGATGTATTTCGACGACAGTAGTATCTGCGGGGAACGACAACAAAAACATACTCCCGGGATGCAGGAGCAACACGGCGAATCTAGCCGTAGTGCTCAATCGCAACATCAATGCAATCCGCAACACCAGCCGGCAACTTCGGTGATGATCGAACTTCTTGACGATGCCATTTCCGTCCTAACAACTCCTTCAGTTCCAGTTTCACACAATAATTTCCCTCCTGAAACTATTCCGCTTACGCATCCTCATCTGTCTTCCAAAGACGACAGTATTACAGTGGGATCACCGGCTCAGGAAAATCRAAATGAAGATTCTCGCCTCCGATCACGAGGAGTGCGCTGGAACGATACGATTCAAAAACAACCCACGCAGCAGAAGCAGCGACAGCAGCAAAAAAGACAACAGCAACAGCAACAGCAAAAAAGACAACCACAACTGCAACAGCAACAGCAACTTCAAAATAAGCGGGAGCCTCAAAGCCACCAACAAAAGCGAACGCAGCGGGTCACAACGCCCGAACTCGTCACGCTCGAGCGACAGATACACGATCGTATGAACTTTGCCAATTCCAGATTGAGTCGAGCCATCGACCTCGACGAACGCCAGGGCCGGGTGCTTGCCGCTAACAACAAGAACAATGATTGCCCCGCATGGCAATGGCCATCCCCGTTGCAGTTTATGCGAACGAATAATCCAGATTTTAACAACTGCCGCGACACCACAATCGAGGCTTACATGGAAGCATCGGAATGGTACCTCAAAGCTATTCAATTGGCCGAAAACCAACGAAACAAGCTGCGTTCGGCTGYCACGGAAAACGCCAGACAAAGACACGGCAATCGATCGAGCATCTCCCTTSGAACAATGGATGCAACCCTCCAAAGGGTCCTGCCCAAGCTCAAGCGTTTGATGATTTCGTCTCTGGATCGAGTAGAGGCCCTAAAAAAGGAAAACAAGCGGTGCAGCACCGCGGCCGTCTCTGTGGCTTTCTCCAACCCTCTTGGTGATCGWAAAAAGGACAGGGTTCAGGAACGGGTAACGAAAGCTCCCCATGATTCGCTTCCCAGGGCCGTCCCCGTTGGTTTCGCACGTCTTCTCCCGAACCATAATTCGTTCCGGCAAAGCGATCGGCGAACGGATCGGGTTCCACGACCAGACAATCGTACACCTCGCAATTCTCTTCCGTTGGCCATTCCGGTTTCCGTATAATCATCCAAGAGCAAGAGAATATGTCTTGGAAACGAAAAGCAACGACGATAGCGAGCTACTCCAACGACTGTGACCTGGCAAAGAGATACATCCAGAAGGAAAAACTATAATATAGAAATATACCATAAACGAAATATATAGACCTACGTGATTTTAGCGGAATTCATGTGATAGTTTGCCAACCTAGGGACTGCGAAGATAGATCTTCAATGCAAAAAGGTTCTTTTGATGGATTGGTGCTACCTTATGTTTTCATRCTAGGTATAGCTCATACATTTTAAATTGTAACGCAGCATTCCGAACGGAAGAATATCACAAGAAGCGGCCCGACAAAAGGAAGACTAGCAAATACAAGACACGCCGGGTGCACATAAAATTCGACCCGGACCTGAATAGAACGCGACTTTTTGACTATGCAGGCTGGCAATCTGTTGAGTTGATTCGTCGGTCTGGTATCACATCCTGTCACAATTTTGTAAAACCAGAGAACACACCCGCATCCCGTCGATTCCATTGGGAAGGAAAAGGACAATCACCCAGGCAGCAGGTACTGACTTTACGCTGTGGCTAGGAATGGTTAGAAAYAAACCAAAAGCCTCTTTCTGTGGCACCAGCAACAAATCGCCTTCGATTCGGACTAGCAACGATCAAATGGGTTTGTACCAACTACGTCGTGCATTATTTTAGTTCCAACACCACAGGAGCAATAATTGTAGCATACTACTTCGTATTTTAGTTCCAACACCACAGGAGCAATAATTGTAGCATACTACTTCGTACTAATCTATGGCTTGCACCAGCATTGTTCCGTGCGAGCGAACAAGACGAGCAAACGAAAGCACATCGAAATCAACCCAACCGGCTCACTCGCTTGCTCCACCCTATCYCGCTTTTCTGTTCCTCACACCACCACGGCCTCGACCGCGGCACGGACGCCCTCGATCGCGGCCCCGTGGACCAGGCTGTAGTACTTGACGCTGGTGTGCTCCCCGGCAAAGAGGAGGCTCCCGTCCCACTCGGAGGCCGCGAGCGCCTCCGAGTCCGATCGGGAATGGTTCGGAAAGGTGTAGGCACCCCCGATGTAGGGCTCGGTGGTCCAGTTCTGGATTGTGTGCGACTTGTAGTGCCTCGTTCCGTTGCCGTCAAAGAGCTCGTCGATCCTGGCCAGGGCGTCGCGCACGAGAAGGTCCTCGAGGGCCGCGTGGTGGCTGTTGTTGCCGTTGCCGTTGCCGTCGCCTGCTTCCGGCACGGACAGCGCCGCGTGGTGTTCCCCGACGGCGACAAAGGCCAGGACGTGGTGCTCGTCGCGCTTGTCCTTTCCGTACATGGCATCGTACAGAAGGGCAAGGTCCCCCACGAGGAGGCGGCCGCTCCACAGGGAGGAYCCCAGTGCCTCRCAGCTCGTCAAATCGGGGTAGAAGCGGGCCCCCATCTCGAAGAGGATCCGGTACCCCGGTGGCATCGGCACCCGTTCGATCGCCATCGTCTTGGAAGGGGACAGGGGGGGATCGAAAAAGGCCCTTTCGTTGGCTCCTTCCCCGCTTTGGGGGGTGCCGGCCCCCGCCGCCGCCTTGGTCTTGAGGACGGCGAGCGGGATCGTGCAGATCACCCTGGAGGCCACTACCTTGTCGACGGTGGTTCCGTCCTTGGCGAGAACCTCCAGGGTGATCCTCTTGCGAGTTGTTGTTGTTGTTGTTGACGACGACGWCGACGTTGACGCCCCGTACGAGATCCCCACCACGGGGGCCTCTAGGCGGAGGTTTTTGGCCAGGTTTGGCGAGGCCTTTACCAGGCACTCGTCGAGGTACTGGTTCCAGGTCGATCGGTTCCACTTGGTTTCTTGGTAGACCTTCTTGAAGATGCCGAGCTCTCGCTTTTGGAACCAAAAGGAAGGATTGTAGGCCACAAAGTTGGAGTCTTCCAGGAGGGGGCTCGGCGTTGCCGCCGCCGGAAGCGGAATCGACGAATCGTCCGAAAAGACSTCCAGCATGTGCGTGACGGCCTCCCGCCCGTTCGGGGTGTGGATCCACTCGGCCCCGAGATCGAGCGGAACGGCTCCGTTCAGAAAGGGTTTACCATCGCCATCGCCATTGCCATTGCCGTTGCCTCCGGTGGAAGTGTCCTTTAGGCGGCCCCCGATGCGGTCCGAGGCCTCCAGGACGAGGTAGTTGCCGATCCCCATGTGGTCCAGGGCCCTCGCCGCAAAGACCCCGGCCACCCCCGCCCCGACAATCACCACGGGATGTACCGGTTCGTCCTCGGCGGCACCGAGAAAGTCCCGGACGCGGGGATCCTCCCTTCCCGGAAGGCCCGGAAAGACCGGAAGTCCCGCGTTGTCGAAGAGCGCCACCGACGCGAGTTTCTGCGCGTTTTTTTGCGTGGCCGGCCGGGGGATGCGGATGGCACGTTGCACGCGATGYGATGCGATGCGATGCATTGGACCCRGCATTGCATTCCAATCCCAAACAAAGAAACATCGGGGAAGCGGTGAGACCGGAAGCGAAACGAAACGAGCCATCGCTATCAACGAGGAAGGAAAAAGGAACGCGAACATTTRCATTCTGCGGAAGACAGAAAGCAACGACGAATAAACCCCAAAAGACCCGAAACTCACGCTGCCCAGCCTGGAGCAACAGTCCTCTTTCGGCTCGGGGTCGTCTGCCATTGTCATTGTCGTTCGAATACTCGTACGTGTGTCTTGTTTTTATTKACTTGTTGGATATGTTGTGCCGTCGAGTCCACACACTCCTCTCTGTCGAGCGTTCTTGCTTGTTGTCGTTGCGGCGCTATCCGCTGGTGTATGGTAGTTGTGCCGTAAAATATGGTTTTGGATTGGATCCACGGAACACGACTGCGGAGCGTCCGAGCGCTTCTGGCACGGTACGTGCCGAGCCGACAACAACGAGATACGGCACGTACGATACCCAGGGGCTTGGCAGACTTTTGGTTGCTGTACGGTAGTTTCACAAAAGATTGTTCCCGTATTTCGTGATAGTTTCGTTCCTTTCCTCGCGGGGGAGAAAAGAAGCGCCC